AGTGTCTGCATGTATGACTCCCAGTGCCAAGGAAAAAGTTTAAAATTGGTGGTTTTGTTCTGACTAAGCCAAGCTCTCTAGAGGAATAGTTGAAATTAATTCACTATGAATGCAATTTTCATTATTTAGAATACCTATTAATTCATAAAGTACTGTGTGATTAAATCTTTTAACTTAAACAATACACATAAATAATCTTAAATAAAGGATTTAATTTTAATAATTAAATTAATATTATTACTTTTCTAAAATCCAAATGAAAACAATAAATGTATCTAAATCATCTTCATTAATAGATTTTTTTTTTTTTTTAATGATCTACGAAAATGTCTTAAATTAAAAAAGAAAATAGGAAAGAAAAAAAATCTACCCGTCCTAAGAGAAATTAACATAGCAAAAATAAGAAAAAAACAACTAAAAAGAATAAAACTATGAATCTATGAAATAACAAGGAGAAAAAACAATTTTAAAAAAATAATTCTCATACTATTATTGTTATCACACCCGGCTCCGAAGCCATTTAATCTGTACGGAGCCACTCCGGGTGCGAATAGTCATTTGCAATTAAAGGTACCGGGGTACCTATAGATACAGCCCAAAGCCTTTGTATAATTCCAATTGGGCAATTTTTATAACGTATCTTTAACAAAAGAAGAGTTCTCCTTGATTTACCACAATTGCAACGTAAAAGACAAAAGATTCATAAAAATTTACATTTTTTTGATCTCGTACAATTTGTTCAATTGTTGTTTTATTCAAAAAGAATAGTGGAATTTGATTTTAAAAAATACGTTTAACGAATTTTTGTATTTATTTCTCTAGAAATAATATTTTGTGTTATATTAGGTCCTGGCAAGGATAAAGCGGATTCCGGAAGTTCTCCAATGTGTAAACAACGAATTGAAATATAATAATAATACAGTGTGTAGTGTAGGTGAAACCCAAGCTAAGGTAAAAAGTTATATTTTTATATCAATGTACCGCTCAGTTGAAACCTAGCTTTGGTGACAATAATTCGAAACATATTTCCAAATTTGATAAGTCCCCAATTTTAAAGGCTTATACTTATATATTATGTTGGTAAAAAAATATATTATAATAAATGAATAAATAAAAAAAAGGCAACCGCAAGGTAATCTTGAAGTGCAGGTGCGTATAAGTATATAATATATACTACTATACCCTACTATATTATATTATATAGGAATATAGTATAGTATATTATTTCTGATCGAATTTCGTATTGTCGCATGTAAATTAATTTTTATAAATGTTATTAAATCATCAAATGAGTTGATGTCTAAGTCTAAGTCATTTTTGTTAACTGGCTTCCACAATCCTTGTTTGTTGTGTATTCTTTTCAGGTTTTGGTAAACTTTGGGCACTCCTCTGAACTTTGTTTCATACTTTTACTTTTGGCAGAGTGCTACTCAATACTATACATTGGTAGTACCCTATACATTTTTTCATGGTTATATGAGGGACAGTGAAATGTCATTATAAAGAAATGTTTTATGTAAAAAATGCAAATGCATCATCATCACCTTATTACATCGAAAACAAACAAAATTCAATGTAGGCGTAGGCTATACTATAGACTATATGTTACTAATAGTTACTAAACAAAACTTGTTGGTATATCCTGGTGTGTTACATAGCAACAAAAAATCGAAAATAAATTTTGTCCTATGGAATTTAATTGCTAATTTTTTTATTTTGTTCGCTAAGGACTGATCAGACTGATCATCAGATAACATCCCACTTTGATGTAGGCATTCCCCCATCATCTGATTATTTTTCTGGCATATTGCTCATATTAATATCCAATCCTAATTATTAAATCAGCCTAGAAAATGCTATAAAAATTAAAAGAGAAATTAATTGTTGCCCAATGTGTTACATACCGGTAGGTTGTGCTGAAAGAACTTAGACTAATAAAACTGCAGCACTGCTTTCAAATTATTTTATTTTTTTGTTTTGCAATGCACATAAAATTTTGGAGCATTGAGAAATGTGACATTGAAAAGTTTATTATTGTATGGGGCCATCCATAAATTATTTCAAGCTATTTTGGGCAATTTTTGCACACCCCCCGCCCCACCCCCACCAAATCACAACTTTGCAACCAAATCAGGCACTTTTTTATGCATCCTATTTATAAACTTAATCTGTTTAAAAACAGTTGTTTTTATTCCTTGTGTCTCGCCCACTTTTTCTTTTTGACTCTGTTTATTGCAAGTAATAAGTTGTATTCCTCGTTGAATTTAGGTTTAACAATGGCTGCCCTTGAAACCACCAGTGACAGTCAAGTTAACTCTTCTGATCATCTAAGTGTCTGGGAAATGGTAAAAAATAACATTGGTCAAATGATAATGCAAGCACTCAGCCATGCAACTGCCCAATTTTCTTATGAAAACTTATACTTGGACAGCATTAAAAATCGAATAGAGAGTTTGCTGAGCTCCTCACTAGCTCAAGTGCAGGCCAACAACATTAATCAAGGAAATCATACAGTGAGTTATAGTTCTTGCTTATTTTCGATAAATTGCAGTTACAAAACAATATTTCACTTTTCAAGAATTAATTGGTTTTATTTTGAAATCTCTAAGTTTAAAAAAAAAAATTGTTACCCAGTAAATTACTCATAATAAATTATAATTTTCTTCATTCCAGTTATGAAATTTTGTTTTCCCATGAAGTAAATAATTTTATTTTAAAGTATTTTATATTTTCAGTGAGCCCCTTTGAAAGGTAAATAAAATAAAAAATATATTTTGTGCAGAGTATTTTTTTAAATACATTCAAACCCCAAAAATTCTGCTTCTTTAAAATCTATCTATAAGTCGAATAATGTATTCATTTCATCTCCCTAAATGGCAGAGTACATTCATATGGAACATAGACTGGACAGAAGGTACTATCTATATATCCTCCACAAAGATAACCATTTTAGCATATTTCTTTAAAGGTTCATGACGACATAAAAGCAGCAGTTTCAAAATCCGTAGATGGGGCGTTGTATGAACTCAACATGACGGAGATGGAAGGAAACCAGACACTTGCATTTAGGAACAGCATCATTAGCAAGCTGGACTATGAAATTGACATGAATGTTTTCAACCAGATGTTGAACAACTCCACTGGCAAGTACAAAGAAAATGTCCAGGAATTACATAGTTATTTAAAAGCAAGGATACTCCAAGGATTGTTGCATTATTCTTTCATTAGATCTTTTAGTTCCTGTAATCTTTTGGCACAGATGTTTCGGTTTTGGACAAACTAACATTATTCCATCAGAAATATAGCACGGCTGCCTCTACCACTTTTCCCATAGCACGGCTGCCTCTACCACTTTTCCCATAGCACGGCTGCCTCTACCACTTTTCCCATAGCACGGCCAACTACTGACGCTTAAGTTTTTTAACTCAGTTCTGCTGAAGAAGCAAAAATGTTCTGTTTTTAAATCCTTTATATATTCACTTTGCCTTTGTTCATGGCAAAATCATCGTCAGATGGCTAAATGACCCACTTACTGTCATCCTATTGAACTGAAACTTGTCACATAGACTCGCTGTTAATGACAGCACATTCTGTCAAATTTTCAGCCTAAAAAATCAGTTTTTCATGTCTTTGAAGGGGAAGATGAATGAAATATGATTTGTTTAGTGAGAGCGTGTTTGGTCTGGAGATGAATTGTGTCGCTGTTAATATGTGCTTTGTATTTTTGAGTTATTTGGGTTTAAATATATATTTAGTTAGTATATTAGGTTTGACATGCACTTAGCTAGCTAAACATAAAAAATCAGTTGCTACAATTACATGAATGATAAATCAGGTACAATTACATAAATGATAAATCAGGTACAATTACATAAATGATAAATCAGGTACAATTACATAAATGATAAATCAGGTACAATTACATAAATGATAAATCAGGTACAATTACATAAATGATAAATCAGGTACAATTACATAAATGATAAATCAGGTACAATTACATAAATGATAAATCAGGTACAATTACATAAATGATAAATCAGGTACAATTACATAAATGATAAATCAGGTAAAATTACATAAATGATAAATCAGGTACAATCACATAAATGATAAATCAGGTACAATCACATAAATGATAAATCAGGTACAATTACATGAATGCAAACAGAAATGCGTATAGAGGATTTATATGAAAAACGTTCTTTTTAGGGGTTGTTTCGTTATGGTCCTATTCTTTGCTTTTAAGCGTCAGCAACCCTTGTCCTACTATTTCCTTCACATAGCTTGAAGTCTGTCTTTCATTTATGATCCCTCATTAGATCAACAAATTTTGTATATTTTTTTTAACAACTATTCAATAATAATATAAAGTATTAAAATTAATTTTTATTCCCCCAGATTTGTATAGCTCCAGACATGGCTTTTCAGATTTCTTCCACAACCTTCCACTGAAAGATGAGACAATGTTTGTGGCTCTCATTTGTATGGGCGTCATCATCCCCGTCATCTTCATCACACTTTTCCTCATCTTTTTTTACAAGAGGAGAAAAGAGAATAGAGAGAGAAGGTACACCAACAAAACCCACCTTAAGGTCAAATGCTATATGAAAGAACTCTAAATTCTAATTCAAACTGTGGCCCATACAAATCATATTATGATGAGCACATATAATCAGTAATTCAAAAAAGAAATTAGGCCACACATTTTTTTTGTTATTGCTAGCACCATTGAATGTTACTATTACAAGGCATTGCCTTACATTTATTTGGACATTTTTAAAGACATAATAGCAAACTCGTTGCCTACAGCTTTTGATTTATTGGTTTTATATGAGAGATTGAGATGTAATTTACCAGTTGTTAAATATAATGAGATGTCGCTCCTGAACTTGTACTTAAATATTAATTATATACATCCTGATACCAACCGTTTCTTCACGTTATGTCCCACAGTCAGGAGATGTTGCTGAGAGAACAGCCGGAGCTGTCCATGGATGACTGCGGCAGGGGAGAGAAGACCAACAAAGATGATGTTCCAGACCTGCAGCTAAGAAGTGCCCCTGTTTGACATTTCTCCGCTACCTGCCTTCAAAACATAAACTTCCATGCCCTAATTTGTGCTCTAGTTGCACATTGTTGTTATTTTTTTGTGGTGACCACACCACAGTGACATCAGGATGCGTTTCTGAATAATGGCTTTTAATCAATATTGTAATGATGATCATTTGCATTGATTTTAAAGACGTATACATCTGTGTTTTCACAGATGATGCACGTTAATCATGATAGTTGTTCTGTCAGTCTCCACGCCCAAGCGAAATTTTAAACTCTTGACTGTTTTAAAAAAACAATTGATGAATCAAGAATCTCATAACAGCTGAATAATTTGTCCAAATGAATAAGTTGTATTAATCATCTATTGTTAGTATTTGTTTCTACTGAAACCAGATATAAAAAATCAGTGTGTTGCCTCCTATGCAAATAATCTGAAGAAAGACATCACAATTTTTACTATTCCAGATAATGCACCCTTATATCTAGAGTTACCTGGACAATTTTTTTTTCAATTTTTATTTTTTGTTAAGTGCTTGAAACAGAACTTTATTTGATACTGCTTTTGGTGGATAAAATAAAGCACTAAACAAGCCTGGCATGTGCCGGTCAGAGAAACATTTTCTATGCTGCTGGTTGTGGACAGTTTATTCATTTATTGCTATACCCCGACGGTTGTGTTGGTTCAATTGTCTTATTGCTCCCTGCGATCATATCCAGTTAACCCTTAAATGTTGTGTTTGTAGACAGCATTACCAGTGAAGTGGTAAAGATGTAGCGTTAAGATATATGCAGTCTTGGAGTGTGTTGGCAAGGTGTGTTGGCAAGCCTGGCATGTGCCGGTCAGAGAAAAATTTTCTATGCTGCTGGTTGTGGACAGTTTATTCATTTATTGCTATACCCCGACAGTTGTGTTGGTTCAATTGTCTTATTGCTCCCTGCGATCATATCCAGTTAACCCTTAAATGTTGTGTTTGTAGACAGCATTACCAGTGAAGTGGTAAAGATGTAGCATTAAGATATATGCAGTCTTGGAGTGTGTCGGCAAGGAATGAATCCACTCATATTTCCATGAAGCATTTTAATAATTTTTTTATGTACTTGGAAATAAGATAATAAATAATTTAATAAAATTTCTAAATCTAAAGAACCAGAAGTAAAAATATTACTCCTTTTGTCATGTGCATATTAGCTTAGATTCTTCACTTTAAAAAAGAGGTTGCTCTTCACCCCCCCCCCCCCCCCCCCCCACGCTAAACTATTTTTTTAAATAAAAAAAACCTGGTTGGATCTTTGGATTAAAAAAAAACAACTTTTTTATTATCATGTCCTCAGAATAAAAAATAAAAGATATGTTAGTCAATGAACTTCTGCTAGATGTTAGTCAATGAAGTTCTGCTAGATGTTAGTCAATGAAGTATGCTAGATGTTAGTCAATGAAGTTCTGCTAGATGTTAGTCAATGAAGTTCTGCTAGATGTTAGTCAATGAAGTTCTGCTAGATGTTAGTCAATGAAGTTCTGCTAGATGTTAGTCAATGAAGTTCTACTAGATGTTAGTCAATGAAGTTCTGCTAGATGTTAGTCAATGAAGTTCTGCCATTTCCAGGGTTTAACTAATCATTTTAACTTTTTTTTTTTTTTTTTTTACAATTTTACATAAAATTTTATTTCATTTTTTTCCTAACTCAAACATTTTATATGTTTTTATGACTGCTCCCTGTCATTAGCTGGTACTTGTAAATATTTTTTACTAGATGTTAGTCAATGAAGTTCTGCTAGATGTTAGTCAATGAAGTTCTGCCATTTCCAGGGTTTAACTAATCATTTTAACTTTTTTTTTTTTTTTTTTTTACAATTTTACATAAAATGTTATGTCATTTTATTCCTAACTCAAACATTTTATATGTTTTTATGACTGCTCCCTGTCAGTAGCTGGTACTAGTAAATATTTTGTAGTGGATTTTTACAACCATTTTACACATTATTATATGATGCATATACTTGACACATTCCAAAGCATGTTTTAATTCATTTTGTCAGCATAAATGATATTATGATTTTTTTTTTAATAAAATAAAATATAAATGGAAAAGTCACAGCTTTTCCTCATATAAAGGTAATCCTAGAAATGCATCCAACTCACATCATTGAAGCATCATTTTGATATGCCAGTGATATTAACCAGATTTTGCCTTTCACAAGATATTAAAGTCACATGTTGCACGTTTATCACTATCCGTATTTAAACATCCATTTTTAAGGATACTTTTCTGCATTGCCTAACAGTGATGTATTTTAGAATCACAATTTCAGTTGTATTCTTGTCAATCTCTACTTGCTTGAGGTAAGATCAAAGGCCTTCTTCACTGTGTAGTTAAAAATTTACTATAAAACTGCAACAAGGGCCAGTTTATCATTTTTTTTTTAAAACTTGGGCGCCATACCTAATCAGAAAATTCAAATGAAATGGATACTTCATGAGTTAATAACAGGTTTGTTCCCTTGCCACTTTTTTCGTGGCAGTCTTCCATGATGAGACACATTTTTTAACCGAGTTGTGAAATATATTTTAGCGATGGTCATTTTTCCTATCAGCGGGCCGGGCCAGTGATTTTTACATGCGAATGAGAATTCCCTAATAAGAAATCAGAGTATTGTGTATTGGATTTTTTTATTCACAACTATCGGAATTCTTTAGACATATTTTATTTCATGTCTTATGACACAGTGTGGCTTTTTATCATTGTATGATAGTATTCTGGCTATTTGGACATTTTGTAACATTTAGGTGACATTAACTGACAGAACTGATAACTGATATTTGTTTACAATAACTGTCAGAACTGATAACTGATCTTTGTTTACATTAACTGACAGAAATGATAATTGACCTTTGTTAACATTAACTGACAGAACTGATAACTGATATTTGTTTACAATAACTGTCAGAACTGATAACTGATCTTTGATTACATTAACTGACAGAACTGATAACTGATCTTTGTTTACATTAACTGACAGAACTGAGAACTGATCTTTGTTTACATTAACTGACAGAATTGATTAATGACATTTGTTTACATTAACTGACAGAAATGATAATTGACCTTTGTTAACATTAACTGACAGAACTGATAACTGATATTTGTTTACAATAACTGTCAGAACTGATAACTGATCTTTGATTACATTAACTGACAGAACTGATCTTTGATTACATTAACTGACAGAACTGATCTTTGTTTACATTAACTGACAGAACTGATAACTGATCTTTGTTTACATTAACTGACAGAATTAATTAATGACCTTTGTTTACATTAACTGCAGTATTGATTAATGAACTTTGTTTACATTAACTGACAGAATTGATTAATGACCTTTGTTTACATTAACTGACAGAATTGATTAAAGACCTTTGTTTTTAGATTAGATTTTTTTGTTGCATTTCATATGATTCCCAAAAAGATGTGCTGAATCTATTTATTATATTGTGTTGGTTAGAAGTCAGTTACCATGATATGTTATCTTTAAATTTAAAATACATTACTCTGTAAAGCTCAAACACTGAAATGAGAAGTTGGCAGCCAACTATAGTATGGATCTCTCTCTGCTATTTTTACAACATTTTCACTGCCCAGCACTTCAGGGCACATGTATCTGTTATCTATCACAATTACAAGACTATACAAACAACCTATATGTGGACAAATAACAACCAAGGAGGCCCTGCATGTAAAAAATTTTCCCATGGCCACAGAATGCATCTCCAAACTGCAACTGAATCAGAATGATCACAATTATGATTTGTTATTATATATTTTTTTCTTATGTTTATTGTTTTACTTGAAGTTTTAAAATTCATGTCTTTGAGACAAGCTCTAGCAAAATGCAGGCATCCAATTGCAGCTGTTTTACAGAATAGTGGTATTAATTATAAGAGAAAGCTGTGCTATTTTTATAAAACAAAAACTCAATACTATAGTATTCTTTCAAATTAAGTTATATTGTTATGTTTAAAGCAATAATACAGCCATTCTCCAGGTGGCTAGACTTCACTTTTTCTATTCATGTCTTTTCATATATAATAGACATTTTCACATCATTATAATCACACCCATGATATGTTTTGTTGCATCACTATCACAAAGGCTGTATAAACTCTGCAGACTATTAGCTTTGTATTGATTTCCTGTCATCATGTGAACTAAAGTATATTGCTTACCACAGTTGTAAACATATCATACAAAAATCTCAAATTGCTGCTATTTAATACATGGTAAATTATGTCTTTAGTCAAATTTTAAAACTCAGCTTAATAATACTCTCAAGTAATAACTTTATTTCTCTTTTATCCACTTACGGTCTGCATTGTTTTGTTTCTTATCTTGTACGTCCATCTGTTGCATTCATCCACCTAAAAGCCTTTTTTCAATCCATACTTTAATTTTTATACATCACTTCACTAGATATTATCTCCATCATGTGTTGTTTATACTTTAAGATGTGAATAATTTTTTGTAGTAATCGGCTTTGTTGTTATATTTACAACATGGATATTGAGATGATGTCATTTTGTTCTTACGGAGAAGGTTTCATGTTCTTATCATTCATTCACTACCCCATTTTTATGGTCCTTTGATTTTGTTGGAACTACAAAACTATATAACTAATTAGGCTACACTTTCTTTAGTTTTTAAGCCTTGTGTAATGGTGTTTCTTTAATGGAGAAGCATCATAAATTTGAATACAAAATCCATAGTCTTTGAAAGAGTAATATTGAGTTTTAAATATTTTTTTACATAAAATTATGATTGTTTAATTTAATTGCTTTTCCAACCTGAAATTTAGATCGTGAAAAATTGATGCTACCACAGGATCAATGGTCATGAGTCATGCAATCATCACATAACTACCATCAGGTCATATTATCAAAGATGTATTTTATTCTACAAAGAAATAGTTCTTTTTCATTAATTTGAAGTACAATTTTAGAAAATGTACCAAATGACAGAATTGTTGAAAATGTGTAAGTATTGTAGAATTATAGAATAATTATTTTATTTAAAATAATATTTTCCTTGAAAAATCCTCTTGATTGAAACCTGTCCTTAACCAATCAACCAGCTGTAAACCAATGACTAGCTTTATTTCCAGTATTTTATTAAAAGAGAAAAAGTTGTTTTCTGTTAAAATTAGTTGTTTTTTTTTTAATTGCTGTTATCATTTTGTCAAACTGTGCCTACCAGACCTAATAATCCTGATATTATCCACAATTATTTTTTTTTGTATGCTTTATGTATAATAATTGTGGGGGGGGGGGGGGGTGTTATGCATAAAGTTATGACACCCTGTAATGGTGTGTGTAGCTTGTCCTCATGTATTGGATCTTGTCATTTTACATAAAATATACAAACACTAACAAATTAAAATATTTTTTTTTTAAACCCTTGTCTTATTGATTTTTTTTCTAATTTCATAAATTTGATTGATTTTGTCTTAAATAAGTGATACAAAACAATTTATACAATAGTATTAACATGCAACAAAAACTTACTTAAATATTTTTATTCTCAACAAGATATGGAACAGATCATTATTTTTACTTACCGTACATAATGTGACCCTTTGGGGAATGAATGAATAAATTACATACAAGGCAAACTATCTGAGACAACATGGTAGATTCACTCATGGCTTTCAATTGAAAAAAATCATGATAAATGATCGTGATAGCATTTAATTTTTTAAAAAGAAAATTTCACATTTTTTATTTTACAGGTCCTGAGCAAAGTCAACTCTACACTTATTATACAAATAAAAACTCAAGGGCAGGTGGCTGATAAATTGTCTCCACTTACATGGAGAAAAAAGTCCTGAAGTTGATTTTTTTAAAGAATTATTAACTGACATGGATAGACACTGGTGCATCAACAGAATAGTTAATTCCTCGGAGGTAATTTGGTTTTAGTCAAATTCATTTTTAACTTAAATTTTTTTTCTGTATTTTACACAGGAAACTCTTTCAACAAGTTTTACAGTTACACTTTTCCAATAAATGGCATTGGATAGATCCTGCCCACCTACTGCTGTGTAGAAATACAAGATTCACTTTGAGCTGGATTAATCAGGCTGAGTTGGCTTGAGGATAGGACCTCAGACTTTTCAGGGGGCCCATTCAAATAAAATTTTATAGGAACTTTGATTTGGGCACTATACGAAACATTTTCCTAACCTGACACTGTTTGGGACATTGATCTCACTTCATTTTAATTGCCCAATATTTCATACTATTGCATAAAGCTAATACTTTTGGCAAATATAGGCAGAAAACAATGCAACATTACTAAATAGTAACTATAAAAATTGTAAAAATGTCATTCCCATTTCAGTTCCAGTAAAACTTTTCTCATTCAACCAAATTTAAGGATAATAAATTTCGGTTGTTTAAGAAAATCACATAAAGAACTAAAAAATAAGATAGAACAAAAAATGGATTGTGAGCATGACTTTTAAATTTTCCAAACGAGTGATCCAATCCACTGGCAGCATTGTCTTTATTACACAAGGATTCTTGGTTGCAGCAAGAGATACACTCAACATACCAGGCGGCCTCCTTGCACCCTGGAGTACAATAGCTGTCACACATTCTGTCTAAAGTTGTCAGCACATCGTCTGTAGTCAGGCGTCTGACCTGTATAAACAAAACAAAAAATGGTTTGCAAAAAAAATATATATATTTTTTTTTTTTAAATTAGTGCTTCATACTGCTTTGTACAGGTAATAAAAAATATGAATTTACAAGATAAATTAGATTTTTTGGGGACAAATAACCCTTTTTTTTTATCATTGACAAGCTAAATTATTTAATTTTTATTTCATTTATAAACTAAAAATTTAACTAATATACTATTTAATATTGAATAAATAACATTGAATTTTTTTTCAAAATTAATAATAGAACATTGTGTTGCCATTCTGGTATTTAATATTAATGAAATAAGGGACAATCCTTAAATGACATTATGCTATTTTGTCTCACATTTTTTTTTACACCCCTCTTTTTTTTTTAAACCCAAATCATCACAAAGATGTTTGACTGTGGTTATGGTTGGCCCCTAAAAAATTTTGCATGAAGCACACGGTTGACAAATGTTTTATGATTTATGTCAATCGGGTCATTCATTTTTAGCTTGTTATTTCCAATCCCACTTTAGCGCAGCTTTACATTTAAAAAATAGGCATTTCACTGAGTTGTATCTAGTGTCATGTTGGCTAAATTTTAGTGCTCCTGTCACACTATATTTATGATGTCACATAATAGTTATGATGTCACATACTAGTTAAGATGTCACATTCTAGTTATGATGTCAAATTCTATTTATGATGTCAAATGCTAGTTATAATGTCCATTACTAGTTATGATGTCACATAATAGTTATGATGTCACATAATAGTTATGATGTCACATACTAGTTATGATGCCAAAATACTAGTTATGATGTGAAAATACTAGTTATGATGTCACACTCTAGTTATGATGTCAAAAAACTAGATATGATATCACATACTAGTTATGATGCCAAAATACTAGTTATGATGTGAAAATACTAGTTATGATGTCACACTCTAGTTATGATGTCAAAAAACTAGATATGAAATCACATACTAGTTATGATGTCAAATTCTAGTTATCATGTAACATACTAGTTATGACGTCACATATTAGTTATGACGTCACATACTAGTTATGATTTCAAATTCTAGTTATGATTTCAAATTCTAGTTATGATATCACATATTAGGTATGATGTTACATACTAGTTATGATGTCACATGCTAGTAACGGTGTCAAAGACTAGTTATGATGTCACATACCAGTTATGATGTCAAATTCTAGTTATGATGTCAAATTCTAGTTATGATGTCACATACTAGTTATGATGTCAAATTCTAGTTATGATCCAACATTGCCTTTCTTCAAGGCTTCTAACAAAATACTGTACTTTTATGTACCTTGCAAAAAGGCTCCTCTGGGAGACAGACTTGGGTGGGTATGCCACTCCCATTGCCTATGTTGATACAATCAATGCCAGGTTGACCATTGTAACAGGACAGACATGACAAGCCATTGGTTGCTTTGATTTCATTAGAAATAACTGGACCACAAAAAAAAAAATAGTTTTAGTATATAACAGGGTTAAAGTAAAGGAGGGGGGGGGGATATCTCTAAAATTTGAAATCCATAAAAACTAAATGATGTTGAGGAATAACTATGAAATATCAGTTTTCCACATGTTGGCTGTGATATTGTGGACAGGATGCCCAATTGTTCTTTTAAAAAAAATATATTTATAAACGTTTTAAAATTAATATACATAAATGTACACCCAGGGTCTCCATGTCATGGTCCTCATGCAAGATCCCCCCTCCCCGCGCCCCCATGACAATGTCACCAGGATACCCAGGGTATAATTCCCCAAACACGATCCTACTACTATAAATCTCATTTCCATAGCCTCGATATCACGGGCTTCATTAGGCTCTCAACAGTCAGGTACCAACACCAGGCCCTCTTCAAAAGTGCCATGGCTAAACGTAAATGGCGTAGTTTTCATGTAATGGGTGAAGCATCATTTATTTATTTTTTTATTTATTTTATAAATCAATTTTGTGGACCATTGACACATCCAGCAATACGTAACAGACGCCTGTCCTACTCACCTCTGTAACACGTGATATGTCTTTGTTGCAGACACAGCACAAGCACGCTCAATAAAAACTTGGTCACCATCTTCTTATTCAACAAAAATCTAGTGTATAATTGGTGCAAAATTTAAAGTTGAATTTCCCTCATTCATTGTTTTTTTTTTTTTTTGTTGTAATATTCACATCATTGTACTTTGATCGCAAGAACTCCAACTCTAGCCTTACAAGGTTTTTTTTTTTTTTTATAATTTTAAATTTTATTTTCCCTCTTTCTTTGTTTTTTTTTTTTTTTGTTGTAATATTCACATCATTGTACTTTGATCGCAAGAACTCCAACTCTAGCCTTACAAGGTTGGTAGCCGCGGAATCACCGCGTTGTCAAATGTGCTTCAATACTCAACGTGCACAAGATTGCAGGCGAAATTTTCACGGCTGCTCCTTACACCTAGGTGCACTCCTCTTACCAGACAGTGAGCTCAAGATGAGACAGGATCCTACACGAAACCGTTTCGTGAATTGTGTTTCTGCATTGACATTAAAATAAAACAAGTTGATGTAATCTCTTCCACTTGCGACATATCGATAGATTTGTATTCTATTAGAGAAAACAAACTTCAACCTTTCAACACATCATTAAAAACTATAAATATGTCTAGATTCTAAGTGTGCATCTCCCGAACAAATCAGCTCCAGAGAACATTGAAACCAAGCTGACATTTTCCTTGGGCAACTTCAGGGTTATGGAAATCTGCGGAAATCTTTTTCTGTGACCGAGCTTAATTTCTTTGCATGCAAGCAACACTGGATTGAAAACATACATTGAGCATGTGTGTTAGGGGGACCGTTGTTTTAAGAACTCTCTCTTTCTAGCTCGTGTGTCCTAATGGCACAACACCAAGTCACAGATCGATAAACTCAGCCAGGGCCCGCAGTGCATGGCACAAGAAGTAAGCCGCGACGTCCACCGTCTTTGCCGAAACAATTTAGCTACTCTCCATTTCAAAGAGAGGGAGGCATGAACAGAAAAGCCAAACGAAAACCTATCACGCCTGACTTAATATCTCAACAACAACAACAAAAATATTTTTTTAAAAAAAACGGTTTTATTTTTTTTATTTACAGATTTAATTTCATCTGTGTGGGTCCAAATACAAGATGAGTCTTTGACAGTGGTCATCAAGGCTATTTCCGGGTGTCTCTTGGTGTTGTATTCTAGGGCTTGATTAATCGGGTGCAGTTTTAATACACAGGGTCCGGGTATTTGCCACGGGTTCTCGCAGAGCCAAATACTTTGCAATTATTTCCGCGCACTATTCACTGTGATTTCAGCTTTTGTCTCCGCACTATGTCGTGTATAGCTGAACATTGGTTATTTCGTCTCCGCACTATGTCATGTATAGCTGAACATTGGTTATTTCGTCTCCGCACTATGCCATGTATAGCTGAACATTGGTTATTTCGTCTCCGCACTATGTCATGTATAGCTGAACATTGGTTATTTAGTAGCAACGAAAATATATCTTCTATGGTAATTTTTCCAAACATCTGAATGAAACTTTAAAATGTTGATTGTAGGCCTACATACTGACACTTTTGTTCTGATGAGACATATGTGTCTCACATAAGGACAAGGCTAGAATCGTGGGGTACCTACTTTGCTCAATAGATTAATGACAACAGTACACCATCCTAAATGCTACGGCATAGTAACTGCCATCATCGTCATCAGTGGCGCTACAGCCCATGTAGGGCCCTGGCCTGTGTGTCCATCCCACAACAGTCCTTTATTTCGGATCGAGCCATGGCTTTCCGCTTCCATGCGCGCACCTCCAACTGGTGTAAGTCCTTCTCTACATCATCGATCCATCTCAGTCTTGGTCGACCGGCGAGCCGTCTGTCTCTAGGTTTCTGCCTGTATATCACCTTTCCTGCTCTAAATCCGGCATCCTTTCATTATGTCATTCCAACGCAGCCTGCTTGCTTTTTTTAAAAATTATTATTATTATTATTATTATTATTATTATTATTATTATTATTATTATTATTGCTACGGTAACTATGGATGTCCTATTTCCAGTCAAATTAAATTTGTTTCCGACGCAATTAAATTTAAAAAATTCGAGTTTTTAACTTTTCTAGAGAAAACTTTTCGCGATTGTTCAATTGTTTTTTTTTTTATTGTAACCCACGAACAGTGGCGTCACCTGGGGGGGGGGGGGGGGGTGTGGACTGCACCGGGTGCCACCTGTTTTTTTTTTTTTTTTTTTTTTTTTTTTTTTTTTTTAAATATTTATATTTTGCGTTTCTTTGGGGGGGGGGTGGGGGTGTGGACTGCACCGGGTGACACCTGCGATGTGTCGGGGCCGGTTCAGAAAAGGATGCCACAGAGCATCAGATGCGTTTTCCATAAGACGAATGGCGTTGCTGAAAATGTGTGACGCCCTATCGTGGTCATGATTGAGTGGTGTTCCCTCCAGGAAAACATTTAGCGATATTAAAGTATTCAGTTGCGCCACTAGGGGTGCGGGCAACATCGAGTGACGCCACCACAAAGGGTTGATGCCAAAAAAAAAAAAGGTGTGGGTGGGATTTAGCGTTAGTGTCACCCAGTGTGGTAGAGTCACGGTGTCACCCCCCGTCCCCATTCCTCCAGACTTCCAAATGGGCCTCCTCTGAATCTGCCTGCTCTGATTTTGCCACATGTACCACTGCGGAATGGATAACTCCCTGTGTTAATAACAATTTAGTTCCTTACCCCCTTGTTTGGTGGCAGTGGTCAATGATGAAGTCAGAGACAACTATTTTAACCGAGTTGTGAGAGGTACCGTAATATATTTGGGGAGATGGGCATATGTTTCCCCAACACTATCAGTGGGCCTGGCCAGTGGTTTTTTAGATGCTCACAAAATGACGTTTTCCATTACAAGAAATCACAGAGCATTGTTCATTGGATTGTATACTCAAATATATCAGGATTCTTTGAAACACATTTCAATTCTTACGACATATTATAATAGGCCTACATATTCAGAGATTTGGAAATGTGTAAATATTTAGTTAATGTTAACTGATTATCCCCTCTTTGATGTTAGATTAAAAAGAACCTGCATCTTTTTCATTTCATATAAGATTAAGATACCCAAATAGATGTGCAGAACATATTTATTATACTATTTAGAATTAATATGAAATTTTTTCTGTGAACAAATTATTCTGTAGGCTCAACCAGGGGAATGAGAAGATAGCAGCCAAGTGTGCATTGGATTAATAACTGATCTGTCTGTGCTATTTTTACAACACTTTCAATGCCCAGCACTTCAGGGCACATGTATGGCTTATCATCTAACACAATTGTCAGACTGTACAAACAACCTATTTGTGGACAAATAACAATTGAGGAGGCCCTGCTTGTTTTTTCCCCTTTGGCCACAGGGAGCATGTCCAAACTGCTGCTGAATCAGAATCATCACAATTATTTGTTACTACTGTAATATGTTTTTTATTAAATTTATTGTTTTACTTGAAATTTTTTAAAAAAATCATGTATTTATCCAATTCAGATATTTTCAGAATAAATGTATTTATTGTAAGTAATGTACGTGAAAACTGTTCAATTTTAACTTAATTTCATAAAACAAAAACTCAGTGCTATAGCATTCTTTCAATTAACTTATAATCGGTATTTTTAAATTTTAAGCAATAATACAGCCTTCTCCAGATAATTACCCTTCACCAATCTGTAGAGACTTTCAAGTTTGTATTGACATCTTGTCATCATGTAAATCAAGTATATTTCTGCGACACATTTTTTTAAAAATGTATAACTATAACTGCTTGCAAACTTATGATAAATCTTAAATTGATGCAATTTAATACATGGTAAATTATGACTTCATTTAAATTTTGATAACTTTATCTAAAACACTGAAAGCATTTTCACATCCTTATCACCACACACAAAACATATTGTCACATCATTATCACCACACACAATACATATTGTCACATCATTATCACCACATACAAAACATATTATCACATCATTACCCCACACACAATATGTATTGTCACATCATTATCACCACACACAAAACATTGTCACATCATTATCACCACACACAATACGTATTGTCAGATCATTATCACCACACACAAAACATATTGTCGCATCATTATCACCACACACAAAACATATTGTCACATCATTATCACCACACACAATATGTATTGTCACATCATTATCGCCACACACAAAACATATTGTCACATCATTATCACCACACACAAAACATATTGTCACATCATTATCACCACACACAAAACATATTGTCACATCATTATCACCACACACAATACATATTGTCACATCATTATCACCACACACAAAACATATTGTCAGATCATTATCACCACACACAATATGTATTGTCACATCATTATCAGCACACACAATACATATGGTCACATCATTATCACCACACACAATATGTATTGTCACATCATTATCACCACACACAATATGTATTGTCACATCATTATCACAAAGGCCGTATAACTTCTGTGCAGACTCTTAGCTTTCTATTGATATCTTGTCATGTGAACTAAGGTATATTGCTGTGCAATGTGCCACAGTTTTTTGTTTTTTTTAAACTTGATAACTCTATGTAAACATATCATACAAAAATCTCAAATTGCTGCTATTTAATACATGGTAAATTATGAATTTAGTCAAACTGTGTCTACCAGACCTAATAATCCTGATATTATCCACAAATTGCTTTCGTTTTTTATGTATACCGTAATGTACATGCATAATACAACTTGTGTTTCCTCATTTTTTAATTTATGACTTCTTATCATAAAATATACATACAATAACAAATAAAAATAAACCTTTTTTTTTTAGCCTTGTCTAATTGCTTAAAAATTTAAGCTTGTATTTTTATTTCAGTCTTTAATAAGTTATAGGAAATATTGAACAACAATTTATCAATACAATTGTATTAAAATACAGCCACAAATAAAAACTTTAATATATTTATTTAAAAAATAAGGAAAAAATAATTATTTTGATTTACATTATGGGACTCTCAGTGGTGTGGACTGTGTACATGATGGACTGTGTACATGAGAGAAGGTGAAATAGTAGTTGCCTCTGAGACAACCTATCAGTGTGACAGCTTCACTCATGGCTTTTAAGTGAAACAGAATAAGGATTAATGATAGTGTTAATTTAACAAAGGCAAATCAACATATTAGTTTACAGGTTGTGAGCAAATTTAACTATACAATATACTACACACCTACTATACACCTACTATACACCTACTATACACCCACTATACACATACTATACACCTTATATAAACCTAAATTATACAAATAAATGCAAAGAAGAGCTAATAGTTTTTGCCTCCACTACAAAAACAAAGGAGGTGGGGATCCTGAAAGGGCTCTTTAAATAAAGAATTATAGATTATAAGAATAGACATACTATGGTGCAGAAACAGAATAGCTGATCCCTGGGAGAAAACCAAGGTTTAGTCAAATTAACAGCAAATGTGTGTAGCCAGACAATGGAAATTTTTAAACCAGCTTACAACTGCACTTTTCCACTGCAGCACATGGATAGATCCTGTCCACCGATGATTATTTAGAAGTTCTAGTGCTCACATTGTCAACAGAATGAGGTAAATCAGGTTGGATGGACTGAATCCATGGACCCAAGACTTTAATTGAAAACTACCTAATCCCTTAAATGATTCTATTCCATCCCTATTTGTTATCAACATTTATCTTACTTCATTTGAACAGCCCAACATTTCATAATATTGCATAAGCTATGATACTTTGGCAAATATGGCCAGAAAACATCTCAAAAATACTAAATAGTAACTGTAAAATATAGGGAAAACGTAATTTCCATATTCAGTTCCAGTAAAATATTCATGGACAAAACCAGCCAGCATAACTTGGTGGAAAACTCTTCTCATTCAATTAAATTTAAGAGTAATTAACTTCTGTTGTTTAAGAAATCACATAAAGAAATAAAAAATAAGTTGAAACAAAAATTGGATTGTGAGCATGGCTTTCAAATTTTCCAGACGAGGAGTGATCCAATCCACTGCCGGCGTTGTCTTTATTACACAGGAATTCTTGGTTGCAACAAGAAAGACACTGAATAAACCAGGCCGACTCTCTGCATTCCGGAAGACAATAGCTGTCACACATTCTGTCTAAACCTTTCACCACATCATCTGTAGTCAGGTATCGGACCTGTAAAATCAAAACAAAAAAACTGTTTACTAAAAAAATAATTCACTTATTGTCATTTTGAAAAAAAAGTTAGAAAAGAACTGCTGTGAATAGTTAATTAAAGATATGAAATTACAAGTTAAATTAGATTGTTTGACAAATACACTTTGGTGGACCATTAGAAATGAAGCTGATTTTAATTATTATTTTTTTAATGAAATGAAAATAAATAACATTTATTGTTTAACAATTGATTAAAAAACATTAAATTTTTGTTGATATTTAGTGATAGAATAACATTGTGTTGCCATTCTGGTATTTACTATTTATTTTTAATGAAAAAAAGGGGGAAATCCCCAAATGACATCTTGCTATTTTAGCACATTCTAACCCCCTCCCCAACACACATCATCACAAAAACACTTGTCTTTGTTTATGGATGGCCCCTCAAACATTTTGAATGTACCCATTGTCAATCTAATTTATGAATTTCTAAAGATTTATGTCACTCCAGTCATTCATTACAGGTTGTTGATCTGCAGTCAACATTAGCACCACATCAAATAAAGAAAAACATATATTTTCTAATTATTATCAAGTGTCACAATAAACTTTTAGTTTGAATTGTCACACTAAGGTTATGACCTTACATTACAGATACAAAGTCACAATGTAATTATGATGTCACACTCTAGTCTAGTTCTAGTCATGATGTCACGCTTTGGTTATGATGTCACACTCTATATATGAAGTCACATTCTAGTGATGATCCAGTATTGTGTTCTGCAAGGTTTCTAACAAAATACTGTTCTTGGATGTAGACCAACCGCGCAAAAAGGCTCCTCTGGAGGACAGGCTTGTATCGGTATGCAGCTCTCATTTCCTATGTTGGTACAAGCTATGCCAGGTTGACCATCGTAACAGGACAAGACACTGGTTGCTTCTATCTCATTAGAAATAAATGGAAACAATTTTTTAGTATATTAGAGGGTTAAAGGAGGAGGGATAAAACAAACTGACTGATGAGGAGGAATAACCATGAAATTTCAGTCTTCATGTCAATATGCCATGTTGTTTGTGATATTGTGGGCAAAATTGACAAGTAGTGCTAAAAAGTTTTTTATTACATAAACATATTAAAAAAATTATTTATAATAAACATTTTAATATTAATATAATATACATTTACATCTAGGGTCTCCATTTCATGGTCCTCATACAAGAGGCCCGCTAAGACAATGACATGTCACTAGGATACCCATGACTGGCATAATCCTCAAAATCAAAATAGGATAATAGTACACCTCATTCCAGGGCCCTGATATCAGCACTGGCTTCTTTTACTTTAACTTAAACTTTAAGGTCTCAACAATCAGGTACCAACACCACACCAGGTCCTCTTTAAAATGAAAAGTGCCCTGCCCAAAAGTAAATTGTGGAGTTTACAAGTAAAGGCTGAAGCATCATGATTTTTTTTAATAAAAAAATTTGTGCACCATTTACACATCCTGCAATCATGGGCGCCCGCAGAAAACTTTCCAGGGGGGGGGGGGCAAAAAGTTGATTAACTTTCCAGGGGGGGGGGCAAAAAATATTTTTAATAATGTTTTAATATAGTTTTAATTTACTGTTGCGTATTTGTATGATGAACGAACGGACAGGACATCAGCTTAGTTACTTTCTCTTTATTTTCTCTTTACTTTAATAAAATTTTTGTCTAAAAATTTTGTATCCAATCAATCCAGGGGGGGGGGGGCAAGTGCCCCACCTTGCCACTACGTGCGGGCGCCCATGCCTGCAATCAATATTCCCTTTAAGCTACGCGCAGCTATCTCACAGACGCCGCGCAGCAGTTTTGAGTATCCGCGCAGCAAATTTCCATGTAAGTGTGTGGTTTGTGTTTGTGGGCTGTAAAATTTTGCACACAAAAAATTGATGCTGTAAATGTAAAACTTTGCACACAACTGTATGATTTTGCACACGAACCAATAAACCTTGTAGTTTGAGGGAACATAGCCTACAATAGTTGAATAGGCAACACTCGAGTAACAGTAACAGACGTCTGTCCTACTCACCTCTGTAACACGAGACTGGTCTTTGTTGCAAACACATCACAAATACGATCAATAAAAACTTAGTAACCATCTTATTCAACGAAACTCTAGTGTTTGATTGGTGCAAAATTTAAAGTTGAACTTCTTTCATTAAATGGCATTAAAAAATATATTTATGCACACTGTGTACTTTCATCGCAAAAAAAAAAAAACAACAAAAAACCTCCGGTTCTAGCCATGCAAGGTGGGTAACCGTGGAATCAGCTCCAGATGACCCAAAACCAAGATTACATTTCCTTGGCCAACTGTAAGATTTATGGAAATGTGTGGAATTTGTTGGTAACCAAACTTGTTTTCTTTGCACCCATGCAACACAAAACAGAAGGCATAAACACTTAGGATGTGTGTTGTGAGGCTGCTGTTGTGAGACTCTCTTTCTTTCTAGCGTGTCCTACTGGCACAACACCAAGTGACAGATCGATAAACTCAGCGAGGTCCCACAGTGCACGGCACAAAGAAGCTACGCCATCCAATGTTAGAGGGTTGCCATTCTTTTCCTAAATAATTCATCGACTCCCCATTGCGAAAATAGAGAGGCGTATACAGAAATAAAGATGAAAATGATATTTTTATTGTTAAAAAAAAAAACGGTTTTATTTTTATTATGAGATTTATTCGCACACGTCTGGGTCTAAATTCTAAATGCCAAGTGATTCTTTGTCAGTGATCTGCAAGCCGTTTCCACTGCCTCATATCATTGAAACCATTGTGTAAATTAAATTTTTAAATTTTTTTTTAAACTTTACTCAATATCCAAAGAGTTATTAATATATCTCTATATTTATATACATATATGTTACATTATTCAAGAACGCGAGCCAGCAATGATCCGATCCATCTCACTGATATAATATCAGGTTGCAATAGAAGTTTTGAAGAAAAAATATATAAGTACATTTTCATTGTAAAATATTTTAATTCAGTGCCAATACTAAAATATGTAGATGGAGGACAAAGTTGCCTCTTTTAAAAAAAAATCATTCGTTGGTTGATGTATTCTTGCAAGCTCTGTTATTCTCAGTTTAAAGCCCATGTTTTGAACCGCCATATTTTTGAGGACCATCTGTTTTACTATCACGGAAGTTTTGGTGTTGATTTTTTTTGGTTGTTTTTTTAACATATATTTAACATATTCCTATTGAGATATTAACTTATTCTCAAGTATTTGCTATGTGTTTTCGCACTGCCAAAATTTCAATAATTTGTGATTATTCCCACTCACTATGAATTCAGATTTCGATACAGCACAATGTAACTGGAAAGCAGATTTTTGTTTCAGTGGCAACCAAAATATATCGACTGTTGTGGCTTTTCCAACCTCCAAACTATACTTCAATTTAAAATGTGGAATTGATATGCCGATAATTTGCATTTATAAGACCAGTATGTCTCACATACAGAGCCGTCGCGTGAGTTTTGGTGACCCCTGCATGTAGAGTTGATAATTTTTCCGCATCCGAACATTTGAGGCCCTTTGATATCTGAGGCAGCCGAAGGAGTTGTCGTGCCTACACGAAGGCTCTGCTTATATAAGGCTAGAATGTGGGTAGGCCTACTTCGCTCAAGAGTTTCAATTCGGATTTTGGGTTCACAGCATCATTTAAATTATTTCTTGCAACATAAAATTATTTTTTTAGTATTTCATTTAAAAAAAAAAAAAAAAAAAAAAAAGAAGATTTTAGCACAGAAAAAGAGGAAAGAAAACGTTTGTCATGGTTCTGCTAGCTTTTTAGAAATAGGCTACGACCAGTAGGGTCACCAATGGGGGCTGTCTGTGGGGCTGTCGACACACAGGATATAGACGGTTCGGACTTACTAGAAGAACTGAAGAGCTTGAGAGTAATGCTTCCCCCGGAGACGTACTAACGGCATTTTATTCACTTCAATAGCCCGTGCTGCTGTCAGACTATTTCAATAGCCCGTGCTGCTGTCAGACTATTTCAATAGCCCGTGCTGCTTTCAGACTATTTCAATAGCCCGTGCTGCTTTCAGACTATTTCAATAGCCCGTGCTGCTGTCAGACTATTTCAATAGCCCGTGCTGCTGTCATACTATTTCAATAGCCCGTGCTGCTGTCAGACTATTTCAATAGCCCATGCTGCTGTCAGACTATTTCAATAGCCCGTGCTGCTGTCAGACTATTTCAATAGCCCGTGCTGCTGTCAGACTATTTCCCAAATACTGCCATCGAATACAAAATATGTTGGCAGTGCCAGTAACCGAAGCAGTTGACAAAAACGTGTTTGTTATCATCAATATCTCATGGTTCCATTGAGTGGATTGCCAACATTGTTAACTGAACGAGACATTGTCCCGGCCCATGACAATGAATAACTCTCCGTTTTTCGGTTTAATTAGCTGCCCCATTTCCGCCGGAAATTTATTATCATTTTTTATTTTTACTTTACGCAGATGGTATGTAGCTCATTCAGCTTTTTTTTCCTCATTTTTTCTAAAGAACTTATTTTTGACAACCATGACACTTGAAATCATCAACAACCGAGCCGCGATGAGCACTATTGCTCAGGTCAATTCAACTTTTAACTGTTACAGTTAAAGACATAGAAATTTCGGGAAAACTAACCTAGTGAACAAATACACGATATGACGTGTCCAATTTTCATTAGGATATAAGACACAGTGTTACTATGGCGTATCTTCATTAATATCACATCGGCATAAGTTCATATCGTCAAAATACCCGTTATGACGTGTCCAATTTTCATTATGATGTAAGACAAAGTATTACAATGACGTATCTTCATTAATATCATATCGGCATAAGTTCATAACGTCAAAGGCCCCACAAAATTTAATTAGCCCAAGGCTATGCCCCCCGCCCCAGTGGCGTAGCGAGGGTGTTTGGTGCCCGGGGACAAGATTCGCGCCCGGGGACAAGATCCATTTTTAGCGCCCCTTTTTCTTTTTTTTCAACTCTCAAACCCATTATTTTCATCAATAAAATAATATCAAAGCACATTTTGGCGCCCCTAACTAGCTGGTGCTCGGGGACATCTGTCCCCCCTGCCCCCCACCACGCTACGCCTCTGCCCCGCCCCACAGCATTCGCCCTCCCCCACTTTTCCAGACTTCCCAATGGCCTTCCTCTGAATATGCCTGCTCTAGTTTTGTTACGTCCTGGGTTGTGCTACTTGTACCGCCGCGGTATACGGTATACGCAGTCACTTCATAAAACAAAGGTGGCGCTGACAATATTTTAATTTAATCACCAAGTAGAAAATGATTCTAAAATGTTTATGTTTGATACTCGGTACTAACCACCAAATTATCTTTCTTTGCGTCGAAATGTAGCCTACCAACGATTGTCCTTATAAGACCCATAAAAATGTATGGAAAAGTAATGAAAATATAATATTCAAGGGTTAAAAATCAAATAGAGCTCTCCCATAATGAAAATATAAAATTTACTAATATAATTAATTTTTTAATGTCCGCGTCCTTTGTTACTTCCTGTTTCGATATCCCAGTTGGTCAGTCGGCGTAACACGGTGCACTCATTGACTCATTGTTAAAATATTTACTATTTACAATTGAATTGGGGTTAGTTTCAATTTTGTTTTTTTATTATAACTTCTAACTTGTTTGAGATATTTTTAAGGTGTAGAAAAAGCATGCTTTGGTAGTTTTTATGTTCATTTATTAGGTCAAGAAGAAGTCATTTTTTATAATATAAATTAATAAATGATAAAATTATATAATTTAAATTATAATTATATATAATTTAAAAAAAATTAAGTTTACATTTGTTAAGTTTAATTATGTCTGTCTTTTTAATTTAAAAAAAGTTGAAGTGTTAAAGAAGGTGCCGCTTTTAAGTTTAAGTGTGCCAGTCCGTCAATTTTGAATATTAAATTATAGGGAAGTTTAGGCTAATTTAACTAATTACTAATACTAATTAGTAATAATATAACTAGATTTTTATTTTAAGTTATATGTATATATATATGAATTGAGATTCATTAAGTCACTCACTAAGTGACTAATTTAACTAATTACTAATACTAATTAGTAATAATATAACTAGATTTTTATTTTAAGTTATATGTATATATATATATGAATTGAGATTCATTAAGTCACTCACTAAGTGACTAAGGGTAAGGGGCCGTACATTAATTACATTACAATTTAAACATAATTTTGAAGCAATGTTTGACCCTCTCCCCCCACCCTGTCAACAACTGTCAAACTTTCAGTGAACTCTCTCCCCCCCTCCCCCCTAATTTAAAAAAAAAAATGAATTATAATATATATAAATACATTTTACTTTGTGATGAACTATTTTAATAACACTAAATTGTAGGAAAAACGTTTTAATTTTATGGCATCTTTAGCTTGTTAATCAACAAGTGAAAAAGTTTCTACACTTAAATTTTATAATTAATAGTGCAGAATCAATTGTTAAATACTAAATATCATTGTTTGTGGAAGTAGAAGTATGATAATGGTCAGTATAGCTGACAATTGTTGCATAGCTTCTAGCTGCTATCATCTTCCCAGGAGTAGCCTGGTGTTGCTTTATCGTAACAATGGGCATAGTTGCTGATTTATCATTTTTATCAAGCAGAACTGATATTCCAGACAAGTCAACATCATCCTCATCTAACCATTTAGCACTTACAACAGAAGCATTGTCAGTGTGTGCAATAATTGCCATAAGCTCTCTCTGTCTCCTGGAAGCTACTTGCATTATTCAAATCCTTTTTTGTTGCGGAGCAGGTGGTAACTTCGTATGCATTGTTGGTGCTGTTGAACATGCTATTTCAATATGACTTGTGATGCAAAATAGATGTTACAGATTTTGCAAATCCGTTCAAGCAGCAATGTTATTATTGTTACTCACTTTACTTTCCTTTAATTCTCAAAATATCATATTCCTCCTCAATCAATACCATTTAACTTGACCAACTGTGATTCTTGAAACATGTTGTTGTTTCATACCTGCAACATGACCACAAACATATCACCCTAGTTATTTGCAACAATAGAATCTACAGTTGAAGAGAGGCCAACTTTTGACTTCTCTTTCATTAACTAAATTTGCTAACATTCTGACTAGCCATCGGCAGTGAACAGTCAGACGCACATTAAATAAATCTAATATTTTTAAAAGCCTAAAAATAATATAACTATTTTAATTTTTTAAGATTAAAATTTTAATATAGAAAACATGATTGTTGACGTCAACTAATCTAACACACACCACCCCACCCTATCAATAATTGTCAAACACTTCCAAACCCCCTCCCCCTACTTCGTTAACATAATTAATGGACGACCCACCTAACTGATTAAGGCAAAGGCTGTTTATTCAGCATCATTATTTTATGCCTTAACTTTAATATTGGATG